GAAAGACTTTTCATCAGTATATGTGCACATACTTGACACTGACTTCTTGATGAATTTATTGCAGACAGGCTCAGAGATGTAGAGCAATACCAAAGACAAGAAAAACCCATCTTCCTGGTGAACTATGGAACCTGAAGAACAAGATCATGTAACACAGTGACTAGTTTCTGTAAGGGTACCTTGATTTGGACCCTAATGAATGGCAAAATTTGCCAGGTTAAATGATATCCCAAAGGTGGACCTTTGTGCAACAATTTGCACTCACAGTTTGGTTGAGCTAAAGCACTTCCTCTGTGCTTGAATAATGGAATATTTCAAGCTTCTGCCTGTTATTGCCTACAGGGTACAGATTTGGTTCAAAGTCCACAAGAGCTGGTAGGAAGTTTGTGAATTAACATAGTGGTATATTTGTAATTTAGGTAGGCACAACTTTTGGAAATCTTAGCTGGCATGGGTTGCAGGGTTCCACTATGGGAAAGGGAGAAGACTAGAGGCAGCTCTCCTCAAACCATGGAGTTATAATCTAGAAGGGAAAGGTGACATAGCACAGCTTTTCTTTTGTGGGGTCTTTGTTATCAGCATAGCCAGAGGGCCTATGTTCTTCAGAGTTTAACTCTCCAGATGAAAACATGAATACTCATTGTCCTCCATTTCTGCACCTTATTACTGCTTTGTTGAAGTTCCATCCCATATTTGGTTTAGTTCAAGAAAATCAAAAGCATGCTGTTGTAGAATGGGATTGCATCTCTAACAGGAAACAATGAAACTATTAATTTGTGTGCTATATTGACTCAAAAATACGAGGTGGTTATTTTAAATGTATAATATGTGGTTTAGGGCTTAATATTCTTAATCTCTTTGAAGAAATTAATTAAAAGAGGTTCATTAGTTTTAAGAAGCTCAGTAGTAACATCTCCTTCAAGTGTAATTATTATGTGGATTACTTTAAAGTGAACTTTTCATGACTCTTAGGCTAAGTGTTCTATTGAAAAGCTGTTTCATTGACTTCAGCAAGGCTGTTTGTAGAAATGGCAGATGTGATTTGTCCTGCAGCGTTTTACCAAGCTGTTCAAAACTCTACAATTAAATATAAACATCTATTTCATATTCTGTATCACTGCTGCCTACAATTAAAAAAAACCCAGCCAACCCTGTATGAAATTACCCATTGCATCTTTTCATTTCCCCCATTCTCCTCCCCTTATTTTTTTTCCTTTAATTAAATGAGGGAAGGACAGTTTTACAGCATCAAGACAGGCTGAAGAGCATGGGGTTGTGGGTGGATGAGATGAGACAGTGTGGCATATGTGGGCAGGAGCCTTTTCCAAGTATTATAAAATGTTCAGCTCATTGCTTTCTTTGAGGTTGCTGTAGCTTAAGTGACTTTGCTGACCTCAACTGTTGTTGTATGCTGCAGAGAGAAAAATCATCTGAAAATGACTTCAGATTGTGAGTTCCTTCAAGTACTGGGCTAGGTACTAACCCATAAATATATTCCTTTCTGTCATGGTTTACTTGTTTTCTGTTGCTCGGTCTCCAATTTTATTTAAAAGTGCCAAAAAGGGCCTCTTTCTTCTGTCTGAAATGATGATGATGAGACTTTAAGGTTTTTAAACTATGGCAGTAACTGGAAATATTTTGAGAAAGGTGAATCTAAGTGTGATATGATAAAATTGAGGAGGGGAAAAAACCAGGGGGGAGAGCAGGTAACAAAACTCTCGGTTCATTTTAGAGAACTGCTTTGTTTGTTTGTTTGTTTTTTTGAAGAGCTCTAAAACTGGAACATAAACATTCCTATTACAAAATATTGTTGACGTATTAGTTTCCATAGAAGGCCTCTAAAGTCAGCCCCTGGGACCCTCCACCCCCACAGTGCTTTTGAAGTTCGTAGCAAAATTGCCTCGATTACGAAAAACCAAAAAGCTCCAGGGGAGGCGAGTCTTTCTTTTCAAAGACACTACTTCCTATCTACTTCTCTTTACAGTCTGCAGTGTTGTCGTCTGAGCATCACGATTGTAAGTTTAAAAACCTCTGTCAGCAGCCCCTGACAGTGCTGACCTGCCACTAACAGACTCCATTCCCCTTGTGTCCTCTTTGCCCTCCAGCGTAACTTTATTCACGCCCCAAAAGAATAGCAAAGCTCTGTCGCAGAGCCCAGCCGATCTAGACTCACACCACAAACCTACGCTACTATTTTTCCCCCCCTTAAAGAAAAGAGAACCTGTATAAACCCCAACTTTTCCCCTCCTTTCAGATACTGACGTTCGAGACCAAGAACCCCAGGGAGCTGGCGGAGCGCTTGCGGTCGGTGTGCGGGAACCAGAGCAACGCCTACGCGCGGCTGCTGGAGTACCGGCTGAACGCCCTGCGCGGGCTCTGGAGCGCCCAGCGCCAGCTGGCCCTGGAGGAGCAGCACGACCGCGAGAGCTCGGGGGATGAGGAGGCTCTGGCCTTGCTCAAACGCCAGGGCTTGTTACAGCAGCCCGAACAGGCGCCGTTTACTTCACGGATGGGCCTTCTGCTGGTCTTTCCCCTCATTCAGTCTCAAAGTAGAACAGACCCTTCTCTCTGTAACATAACCGCTGAGGTGCTATTGAATTGCCTTCGAGACTGCCAGCCGTTGAGTTTGACTAAGGAACCAGCTGACTGTCTCAATGGGATAGAGTCTTTGCTGTGCTCCTGGCTGGAAGACACTTCTCCTTCAGGCCAACAGATTCCATATAAGCAAAAAGAAAATGCTGCTGCTGCCCTAGTTGCCTTGGCTTGTGCAAGGTAAGGAAGCTTTCCTGCGGTAAAATGTTGTGCTTGATACTGGTGGTAAGAGTTTATACTTGAACACAAGAATCAAAAGTGGTGTGACCACACTGTTGATACTGATTTTTTGTTTGTACTAGTCTTTTCCTTTCCAATCTTTAGATATTGGTTTGGAAAGGGTGAAAGTGATAAGATGAGCATTTATTTTTTCACACGTTTTTAGCATATGTAAAAAGAGAAGGATCCAGATTAGAAATGCCTTTTGTGCATATTGCTGCTGCTACTGCAGTGATCTGTTCTAGGAATGGTTCCCCACGCTTGTACCATGGAGGAAAGTTGTCTCACTTCTCCCTTGGTACAGCCCCTTAATCCTGTAGCTTACACACCTTTGTTTGGCTGTAGAAGGCACCACTGCAAGGCTTCAGGGTGATCTGTTTTGGATTTCGGTGTTGCATGTGAAACATCTGGAGGTGTTTTTGCATTTTGTTGCCAGTGAAGAGTTCAACCAGTGTCGGTTGAACTGTCCCATGCCCTGCATGGTTTAGTATCAGGTGATTGAGGAAGAAGTGGCCATAATTGCTTTTAATAAAACTTACTCTTTTTAGAGGCTGGGGCTTGGAAGGAAGGGGAAGAGTGTACAAAGCTTTGCTTCTGTGAAGGCATGTGGCCGTGGGGCTGATGTCACTAGTAACCTTCTGAAAATCTTGGCTATCATGTTGCTCAGATGGCAGCCTTGTTTAAGTTTCACTCTGACTTAAGATGTTGAAGTTCTCAGGAGATATCATGATTGCTTTAGAAAAAGGTTTGTTGAAATGAAAAACACTTTATTACTAGTGTACTTGTTCTAATGAAGTCGATGAGAGTCAATCTACTGTATGTGGCAAACTCTTCTTCACTGACAACTGCCTTATCTGAAAGGCAATGTACTTGAGCCTAGCTCAGATAAATTGGATTTGATAAACATGATCTCATTTATTTTTTTGTGCAGATGTCAATTTTCAGGAAGTATGGGATGTTCTTCTGCAGCTGAGTTTGTAAAAGAGCTAAATTTCAAATACAGCTTTTGAAATGAAGGTTGATCTCATGTTTTTGTTGCTAATCTGTCTTGCATTGCTTACAGGGTTATAATAATCCTGATGGGTTTTGTTCACCTGTGAAAGCCTTGCATTTTTCCCTTAAATGTGGAAGTCACGTGTTGGGTACCATTATGAAGAAAAAGCCTTTGAAATGAGACTATTATTGAGATTCCTATTTGCAATCTTGGGTGCTTCATATTACTAAGAATAAAACAACAGGGCAAATATTGCTTTAAATAATTAATTGAGATTCTTTTGAAGTATTCAGCATCAGTTTTCTCCAAACTGAGATTATCTGTGAAAGCATACAGCTGAAAATAACAGTGGAGAAAACAGGGTTTGGGGAGTGGAGGAGGAAAGTTCAGGAGGTGAGACTGACCGTGTGGCAGAAAGCAAAAGGTTGTGTTCAGCAGAGAGGGCATGGAAAGGATCTCTGCAACTGCTCAGCCATGCTTCTGAAGAAATCAGTTCCTAACTGACTACTGTCATGCCTAAGGCACAGGCAGGGTTCTTGAGTTCAGCCAAGCTGTTATGCCTGAAGGAAAGCCACCACTCTTCCAGCAAGTGACTTCTTCCTCATACCTGACCTTTGGAACAGAAGCTGTAAAATGTACTTTTTAAAGACCTCTATATCTCTTTATTTCTACAAACCCCAAGAGTTTTCCACTATATGAATGTATAGATTTTGTAGGTTCTCTAAAAAAAAGTATCCAACTTATGAATGAAAAAGAATTATAGTTAGAGTTACAAAGTCCACACGTTTGTAAATACCACAATAAAATTTTAAAGCAACACACTCTTGGGCAGGGTTTGAACAACTTCTACAGCAGTTTAATTTTGCTTTCAGAAGTATCTATCCTTACACACATTTAAATGCAGCATATCAGAAGGGGCAAAGCTTCCAAATTTGTGTTTGGAAGCTACAGTAATCAGATTCTTGATAATAAATTAATTAGTTTGGTCTTTTCTGGTTTAGTCTAGAAAGCCTCTCTAGCTCTGTCTGCAGGAGCTCTTCCTAACACTTTGGCTCAGCCCCAGGAAGACCCACAGACTGTATTTGAAGACCTAAATATGATTAATCAGCTACAGGAATTATTGAAAGTAGCTGTCTGTAACAAATGCAAGATTGGGGTATTTTACCTGGGGCCTAGATTGCCTTCATGGTGGATGTTTTTTCTGACCCAGCCCGTGGCTGCTGATCCCCCTGCCTGCATGGTGCTTCAGCCTCTTCCAAAAACCTAGCAGGATTTAGGCTGGCAGTTCGCCAGAGCTCTTCCTTTATGTCACCCTCTCTTCCTCTTTTCACTTCCTTCACAAAAGAGTGAAAATCATCCAGAAAAGAAATGCAAATGAGTAAAGAAGCTTGATGACATATCTTGGATATTCTCTCTTTATGATGCTGGATATTCTCTTTTACATAGATGCTGTTGGCTGTGTGCATTCAGTCTTGTTTCAATAGACATCTTTAATTCATGTTTTTCTTGTCCTTTTAGAGGGTCGCTGAAAACCTTTGTTCATACAGTGCATCTATTACAGAAACAGACTGATCTAGGATCCTTGCCTGTGGCTGATGTATTGTACAGGTTTGTGGTGACCTTTCTCCTTGTAGCAGTTTCGCGTCGGCTCTGAAAATGTGGAAATGCATTTGCAGATAAATGTCTTTCAATGGGATTAAAAGGCTTTAGAGTTATTGAAAGCTCTAGGAAAGATGGAAATTGAGTCAACTGCAGAAGGAGGACAAAGTCAAATCTAAAAGGATCTACTAATTGTTTTTTAAGCATGAAGTTTTTATTTTATTATTAAATATTGGCGATTCCTTTAAGTGGCTTATGAACTCTGACAGAGAATAATTGGTTAAAATATATCCTTAACTTCTGATTTAGCTAGCTTTTGCTGCCACTGTTCTCTATGCATCTGATTTTATTTTCTGCTTAAAGGTTGTTGCTTTTGGAGGGAGGACCTGGATCACCCTCTTGTTTGCTGGGAGGAAAGCACATAGTGTCTTGGGGATTTGAAGACATGTTACCTGCACCTGATGCCAACAGTAGTTCCAGCAGTGAAAATAAAGGTGAATTATTTCATGACTATCAGTATTAGCAGGGGAGGACAAGATGCTTTTAGTGGCAATAATTGTTTAAAAATTAATGTAAAGCTTTAGAGTTGGGAAGGATTTCTCCTTTTTCTGTTGGCAGTAATGTAAAAGCAAGTACAGTACATATCAAATAACTGAAAGCTGGAGGGTTTTGGAAGGACCATCTGGAGAGAGCTGGGCATCACAGGAGGGTCTCAGAGCATGATATCTAGTGAGAGGAGGAGGGCAGCAGCTGTCTGGGCACTTTGTTGTCTGTAAATTGAAAACTGAAGTTTTGAAAATGGGGAACTAATTTACAGGAGTGCTAAATTATTTGTTGGATTTATTGTAGCTGTTCTCTTGAAGTTACTCTAAATAGATATGTAAATAGCTTGCTTGTTTTTTCAAAACTGATTTGGGGATCAGATAGAAAAAAATATCCTGTCTTTGTATTAAAATTAAGAGGCTAAGTCTGAAGTCTGCTGTGTTAATGATGGTGTGGTGTTTTTTTTTTTAATTAGAAGATAAGAGGGTTCAGAAAACGTTGCCTTTTGCTTGCTGAAGATGAGGTGCTCTTTTAAATTGTCTAGTAATCAGGTTGTAGGAGACAATCAGAAGCAGCAGGTAGTGACCCTCCCTGACTTCAGTGGGAATTTTGCAGAGAGGTCACACTGAGTTTGGCTGTTATCCCCTCGTGAGTCTCTCAGTAAGCATGATCTGTTTGTCCTGTGCAGTATCACTGCACTCAGTGGCTATCCTTGGCAAAGCATGTCTGTTTTTAGAACTTAAGTTCA